CCAATGTTCGGGCAAGTGCTTCCTGTTGACCGATTTGAAGCAATGTGCGTACCTTGAGGCATACCAATCTGCAGAAGCATCGAGGGCTCCAAATAGAAGCCGATGAACTGGATTGGACTGCTTGGTTGTACGTGGGCTTGTCGATAGGAGGGGAGTGACGCTCCGCGTTGGCCTGTGAGTTGAAACTAGAAGATAAACGCCTATCAAATTAAGTTTGGGGGAGGGCCAAGGATCGGGAGTTAAGAACTAGGGGATAAACTTGAAGTTGGAACGGGGCGATAAGAGTGAAAAAGCGTAAGATGGGGAATAAGAGGACGGGAAGGCTTGAGCAGTAGCCGCAAAATCCCCATCCACCCTGCTCGATGCAGCAAGTAGGGCACCGTTGATTATCCACCGTAGTGGCCAACGCAACAGAAATTTGTTTGAAGGGAGCTTCATTGTGGTGTGTGGACAGGATGCCGCCAGGTTGCTCATGCCTAGGCAGGAGAACAATTAGTGTTCGCAAACAAAGTCTTTGGTTCAAAATCCTTCCCACAATGCAGCGGGTTTGGCGTTGGGCTACAAGGAGTCCGCTTTAAGGAATAAGGTGCCGCCCTCATTGCAACCCCCAACTAAGAGGATCAAGAGGCTGAGTTTGTCTGACCTCTAACCATTGACCAATCTGGTATGAGTGACCCTGAAGGTGCAAAGACAGCACCCAGCATAGCTCAATGTATCGCTGATGCACACAAACCATCGCGCTACGATCAAATCCAGCGACATTGAGATGGACAACTAAGCGCAAAAGATAACTAAAAACATTCTATGCAACCAAAACATCCTATCCTTCAAGACTTCAACATATTTCAATGTATATCCTTCAGTGACTTAACATGGTTCTGCAGTTGATCAACACATCATATCCAGAAAGAATGTTTAATTCCCGACCTACCGATCTGGCACAGGGCTGGACCCATGCATGCAATGGCCACTCGCCTAACGCATCAGCCAGCAGAAAAATGGGACGCAACTTGACTGCGAATAACGGAGCAAACAGACGTTCAACAAGAAACAGCCAGTTACAACTTGCCATTCAATGGATCAGCGGCAATATTTCAGGACGTGGAGGGTTTTCGCCTGGCAAGCGTTCTCCCTATAAAAAGCCAAAATGTCCGTTTAACAACCTTGCAACGTGGCGAATGGGACTCGCTCCCGAATAAAGTCACAGCCCATAACTTCACACTGGCAGATCAATTAGCGTCATCATTTTGGCTTGCTCTTCAATTATCTATCAATAAATAAATAAATAAATAAATAGTATATTCTCGAATTTCCGAGACACACCTGACCAGGCATGATCAACGTTTACAAGCAATTTATGTTTCGCAACAAACACGTTGCTATGTATGTAATCGGCAATAAGCCGAAAGTTGTCCAAGCTTTGGAAATTGTAAAATTAATCTTGAGGTATAAATTCGTCAAAACATGACGACAAGTTGGGTTATAGTGGGCGTAGTGTAAACAGGCTGGGCATTCCGTTTGTAGAGAAAACTTGTCAGGAAAATATTACATTAGGATTCAGGTCCGCTTGCCAGTACGTAGTTGTGGATCATTCAGGATTCTCAATGTATTATTTTTCGAGGTACGGCTGCAATATATGGCAGAGCGATTTTGTCCATACATACGGGTCCCGATCCCACTGCAACCAAGTCGTTTCGCACCTTCACCATTGCATAGTTCCAAGCATGGACATATGAACAATTTTCTACTGTCACTACACTTGCCATAAAATGTCTGTATAACTGCACATACCTGATCATGACACAATTAACGTGCCTCGCATGGTCGAAAATAAAATATTTATTTATTTATTTAAATGCTTCAGCACTTAGTTAACTCCGTGGCGCCAAAATCCAAACTGTGTAAATTTCTGTACAAAATACAGACAATTTCGAAAGCTAGTGTAATGCGAAAGGGTGTACAAGTATAAGTTTATCAAGACACTTTTTACCCGCTGCGTATAAAAGTAAACGCTATGTAATACATGCAGCAATTTGCGAGTTATGCGAGACCGAAAGGCGGACTGTGCATGACGCCATTGTATAGTTTCTAAAATCGACTTTACACTTTGTAAGCAGATATCCGAAAAAAGGAACTCGTAACAATTGTGGTGGCGTATAACTTTTACAGGCATAACCTACTTAGAGCTACCCCTCTAGAGAAGCCCTCTAGAGTCTGAACTACCCCGCAATATCTAGATACGACTGTACTGGCCGAAAGGCAAACGTTTAGAGCACATATGGCAAATACAAGCAAATAAGCGATACTGCTGCGCGAAAGGCTTGGAAACCTAGTATGGAATATCATATATGCAAGAGACTTTAGGATAACTTATAGTTCGCCCACGGTCAGATGGCCTCCGTGTCCCATGTTCCATGGATAGTGAGCCCACATAATCACCATGACTATAGTTCAGTAGCTTTAATTCTTTAAGTGGTTGCGTAGCTTAAATCTGGACGTCCTGCGCCGGGTCTGCCTGAAATATACAGGTGACTTTAGGAGCAGTTTGACACGTTTGGGCCTTAAAAACGTAAATATACCCTGAATACAGTTAGGCCGTTGCTGTCCACAGACTGCGAATGTTTTTATTTTATTCAAACTTCGAGGCACTTACTTTCCTGGTCTGGTCCTGAACGTCAAGGTTGTCCCACACCGCAACCATTTGAAGACGATACGTGTTTCTGCCTTAAATCGATGCCTTACCGAATGCGGCCCTCAAGCCGAGGTACACTTGCAATGGTATTACGGATTAAATGTCTTGAAAAAAGCGTAAGCATCGTTCTGGCTGGCAATCTCAACATGTTTTGCTCTGTCGACAAAGCGCAAGCCCCACTGAATCTTTCTAGTTAAGTTCGCTAGCTCCTTGGTACAGTCAGCGATCACAAGGTCAAAATGTAGGGAAATGAGCACGTTACCATAGGAATCGATTTGTTACAAGTGGGGCTGGTTGCATGCTGAGTTGAAAAACGGTGGTAATGCAGCTATATTTTTTATTTGCCCAAGAAGCCCCAGTTTCGTGTCGGTGGCGTTAAAACCTGCTGAGCAAGGTTGGTGCAATGCAGCGACCATAATAGTGCACGCACGCAACGGTGTCCTTTAAGCTGCCAATTAGTTGAATACAAACCGAATTTCCTAAGTGGCTTTCGATCAGTCACCCATTGGAAAAGTGAGCACTGCTCCTGGCTCATCTGCATCGGAGTTGAAGCATTTCGTGGACCGCGTTTCTGTAACGCTACGCTTAAATTAACTTGTCCTCCCTGTATGCTGCTGGCGACCTTAATAGAAAGGGTACAAGCTCCTGAAGTCACTTGGCTTGGTAGACCTAGTGACGGGTTTTCGGCCAGACACGATGCCATATTGACGCGTGTTCACAACTAAACGACAGATGTTTGCCATAGAAAGCGGGCTCCTGTGAGCATCTTAGACCATTGTATTTTAAACCTGGTTCCAGTCCTCTACAGCAGGTTGTAGTGTTCATAGCTTTTTCATTTTTTGCGCTTTTCTCATTTCGCTTTTTATATGCGTCTTGTACAGTTGTTTTAATTCACCGTTTATAATACACATAATTCTCGACCTCGAACGGCGCGTTCTGCTTTCCTGCGGCGGCGTGTTGCGATTGCATTGTTGGTGTGCTTGGAAAGTCTGAGCTTCGCGGAACCAACACTGGAATATCGTATCAGGGAGTGTGCAATATCAGTGGAGTTGATCCAACCGTCACTACTGAAGGTCAGCGTGTTGATACTTGTATCTGACACTATTCCTTTCCTTCTGGTGCGGTAGTGTAAGACTAGTTTTCACTCCACTACAAGGTCTAATTTCTTAACACAGACCAGACGCTTTTACAAAATTTATAAACGGCAAAATTGCACACCGGAAAATATCGCGAGGCTCCAGACGATATTTTCTTTTACTGTTTTCGTCCTCTACGACGAGGACCTGTAGCTCAGACTGCATCAAATAGTGCCTTGTTCAGTGTTGCCCCGTTGCAAAGATCTATTTAACAACAGTTAGATTTTCATCCTGACTACTAAATCGACTTCGAATGATAAACGAATGAGCCTACAAGTGCAAGAAGACTACCGGTGTCAAAAGTTTAACCACTGCACTTACATCTAAGAAGAAAGCCTAAACCAACCATACGCCGAAAAGTTCTAGGCCACCATAATTGTCGCGATCTATGGGGCTTCTGAGCCAGTCCTGTGGCAACGCGGTTGCAACCTGAGGGGCGAATTGGGGGAGGATAAGATAAATTCAGCGGCTAGTGCCGCCTCGCTAACCTCAGCATTTTCGCCCTCCTTCATTAGCTCAGGTCCAGTCGCTCCCTGCGATCAAACCAACGTCAACAAGGAACACAAAATATAAACGCAAGCAACGCTTGTGGTTCTAACGCTCTCTCATTATTAGCTGTATAGTAGTGTGCTAACTCTCACATTGCCTCTAACAGACCTCATTAACAAAAGCCTCAATATGAGTTGGAGCCCGGAAGTTTGGAGAACAGCCAGTATCACTCCAGTGTCAAAAGCTAGCTTTCAAAACTATCACCTAATTGCATATACACCTATGATCCTAAAGTTTTCATAAGACTGTTAAATCCGCGGATTGTTTCAGGCGCTCCTGAAGATGATGTCTAAGGGTTTGCATATAGAGCCAGAGCTCCATCCTGGATGCAGTGGCATACGTTGTTTATCCTATAGCCACTGCACAAGGTCTAAAAAGCAAAGCTGTACGGCTTCTCTTGTTGGATTAGTGGAATGTCATTGGAAGCCTGCCATCCGAAAATGGAGTTCATACCTGGGTTTGTGTAATCGGTGACTCGACGTGTGGACCGATTATGATCGCATACTTCACCTTGGAGTTCGGGTTGACAGAGAACTGCGTGCCCTCCGGGCCGTGGGTGCGGGGGTTCGACTGGGTGGGTGGCGTGGTCAGTGGATACTTGGGGCGGTGTTGGGGGTTATATCATGCTCGCCCAGAGAAGGCGCGCAGGGAAGGACGAAGGGAGGCTGGGGGGGGGGGGGGGGGGGGGTGGGGGGGGGGGGGGGGGGGGGGGGGGGGGGGGGGGGGGGGGGGGGGGGGGGGGGGGGGGGGGGGGGGGGGGGGGGGGGGGGGGGGGGGGGGGGGGGGAGTGGGGGGGGGGGGTGGGGGGGGAGGGGGGGGGGGGGGAGGGGGGGGGGGGGGGAGGGGGGGGGTGGGGGAGGGAGGGGGGGGGGGGGGGGGGGGGGGTGGGGGGAGGGGGGGGGGGGGGGGCGGGGGGGGGGAGGGGGGGGGGGGCGGAGGAGGGGGGGGGGGGGGGGGGAGGGGGGGGGGGGGGGGGGGGGGGGGGGGGGGGGGGGGAGGGGGGGGTGGGGTGGGAGGGGGGGGGCGGGGGCGGGGGGGGCGGGGGGGGGGGGGGGTGGGGGGTGGGGGGTGGGGAGGGCGGGGGGGGGCGGGGGGGGGGGGGGTGGGGGGGGGGGGGGGGGGTGGAGGGGGGGGGCCGCGGGGGTGGGGGGGGGGTGGGGGGGGGGGGGGAGGGTGGGGGGGGGGGGGGGGGGGGGGGATGGGCGGGGGGGGGGGAGGGGGGGGGGGGGAGGGGGGGGGGGGGGGGGGGAGGGGGCGGGGGGGGGGAGGGGGTGGGGGCGGGGGGGGGGGGGGGGGGGGGGCGGGGGGGCGGGGGAGGAGGGGGGGAGGGCGGGGGGTGGGGGAGGGGGGGGGGGAGGGGGGGGGGGGGGGGCGGGGGGGGGGGGAGGGGGCTGGGGGGGGGGGGGGGGGGGGGGGGGAGGGGGGGGGAGGGGGGGGAGGGGGGCGGGGGGGGGAGGGGGGGGGCCGGGGGGGGGGGGGGGGGGGGGGGGGTCGGGGCGGGGGGGAGGGGGGGGGGGGGGGGGGGGGGGGGGGGGGGGGGGGGGGGCGGGGGGGAGGGGGGGGAGGGGGGGGGGGGGGGGGGGGGGGGGGGGGGGGGGGGGGGGGGGGGGGGAGGGGGGGGGGGGGGGCGGGGGGGGGGGGAGGGGGGGGGGGGGGGGGGGGGGCGGGGGGGTGGGGGGGGGGGGGGCGGGTGGGGGGGGGGGGGAGGGGGGGGGGGGGGGGGGGGGGGGGGTGGGGGGGGGGGGGGGGGGGGGGGGGAGGGCGGGCGGGGGGGGGGGGGGGGGGGGGGGGGGGGGAGGGGGGGGGGTGGGGGGGGGGGGGGGGGGGGGGGCGTGGGGGGAGGGGGGGGGGGGGGGAGGGGGGGGGGGGGGGGGGGGGCTCGGGGGGGGGTGGGGGGGGGGGGGGGAGGGGGGGGGGGGGGAGGGGGGGGGCGGGGGGGGGGGGGGGGGAGGGGGGGGGGGGGGAGGGGGGGGGGGAGGGGGGGGGGGGGCGGGGGGGGGGGGGGGGGGGCGGGGGAGGGGGAGGGGGGGGGCGCGGGGAGGGGGGGGGGGGGGGGGCGGGGGGGGGGGGGGGGGGGAGGGGGGAGGGGGGGGGGGGGGGGGGGGGGGGGGAAGAGGGGGGGGGACGGGGGGGGGGGGGGTGGGGGGGGCGGGGGGGGGGGGCGGGAGGGGGGGGGGGGGGGGGGGGGGGGGGGGGTGGGGGGGGGGGGGGAGGGGGGGGGGGGTGGGGGGGGGGAGGGGGAGGGGGGGGGGGCGGGGAGGGGGGGGGGGGAGGGGGGGGAGGGAGGGGGGGGGGGAGGGGGGGGGGGGACGGGAGAGACGGGGGAGGGGGGGGGTGGCGCCGTTCGGGGGGGAGCTGTGGGACCAAGGAGGGCGATAGGGACGGCGGTCGGCAGGGCGCCGTGGCGGGGCTGGGAGGAGCAGCAAGGAGGGGTGGAAGGGGGGCTGCGGCGCGGGGGTACGGAAGGCCGGGGGCCGCTGTCGGGGGCCGAGTGGCTGGTGGACGGGGTTGGCGGGGAGGGGGTGGGGGGGGACCTGCTTCGGAGGGGGACCTGGGGGGGACAGGGAGGCGCGGGGGGATGTGGGGGCGGAGGGGGAGAGGGGATGGAGAAGAGGGGGGGGGGCGGGTGGGGAGGGCGGCCGCTGTGGAAAGCGGTGGGGTGGAGACGGGAGTGGGGGGGGGGGGCAATCCTAGAACAAGGGAGAGGAGGAGCCCGCGCCGGTAGCAGGCCGGCGCGCTGTGCGGGCACACCGCGAACGATTGAGGTGCTAGGGGAGCCCTTGGACTCGGGGAGCTAGCACCACGCCGAGACAGTGAATGGCGCGGCGTGAGCAGAGGTCGACCGGTGGGGGAAAAGGAGCTAGGAGGGGGCAGGGGCCGCGGAGGGGGCCTAGTGAGCGGGCGGGCGTGGATGCCAGTCGTTGGCATTTGGGGCGGGGCGTTTTTTTTTTACGTTCGGACCTCGTTCCGTTTTCTTTCCT